ACACACACACACACATACACACACACATACATACACACACACACACAGATACATACACACACACATACATACACACATACATACATATGTATAAATATGTATGTGTGTGTATTTATTTATTAATTTATTTATTTATATAAGGGGAGAAAAGTGTGGTGTGGCTGTTTTGGGGAAATTTACTAGAACAAATATTTGATGTATGCATCAAGTTCCCAGATACCTGTGTGTTGTTTCTGACACTCATTGAGAGGACAGAGAGTGGTCCGGTGTTGAACTCTTCCTCCTCAGTCTTTCCCTGTTTTAATGCATTGTGTCAGGCAAACTACTCAGCACTTAAAACAAAATGAAAAAAAGGTTATTCGTTGCGATATGAAACATACAAGGAGCATACACATGGATAACTAGCTAAATAATGAAAGATGGATGGTTTGCTTGATAGGGGACCATATTGTAGAACGTTAATTACAATTAGAATGTACAGTGCAATAGCTGCAACATGACTTTCAAAATTAATGTCGATGAAGGATATGCAGATGCCACAAATTAGTTAACCTTGAGAATCTGGAATTTTTTGAGTTTAAAATGTGTATAAACAGAGAAAGATGTGAAAGCAGAAAGAACTGAAGGGTGAAAATGTTGTGTAGATTGAGGTCTTAAATTCCCTCAAAGTCTGAACTTCTTATGTACGGAAAAAATGCAGAAGGCTGTTACCTTTTCGCAATTGGTTCTACAATAGAAGCAACAAATGTTTAAAGCCATAAAAGCATATGATAGAGGATCATGGCCTCAAATTCCAACAGTGATTAATGATTGACAACAAGGAAGTCAATATTAAATGTGTCACACATTACACTCTAGATATAAAGAGAAACTTACAGGGACATCTTCCTCCATTGGCCGGCTGCATCAAGGCAAAACGGATACAGAAGTTAGTAAGTTTCATTATATACAGTTAACCTGCTAATGGGAAGTAGAGATGTTTTTGAAAAAATTATTAATCACAATTAGAAAATCAACTATCAACATAAAATCTTTTAAATAAATACAAAGTTATCCAATATGAGGAAAGGAGAACCGATTATGTAATTTGATCAACTATGAACCATCGACATAAACTAAGCATTAAATTGTTAATCTTGTTAATGCTGCACTAAATAATAAACGGTCCATAAATAGAGAGAAAATTAGGAATTCCAACTCTAAAATCACAAATAGAAGACTCAGTTTACATTGTACGCTACAAAAAAATACAAATTAAATAAGAAACATCAAATTTTCAGTAAATAAAAAAATCAATTGCAAAAATCAATCAAGTAATTCAGATTTAAATTTAATGTTAATTGTTTACCTCATTTTGGGCGGAATAGAAACTTCAGATCGGAATCGGATGGAAGACGTCGGTGGGCAGTCGCGGAGGTCGGATGGTGGCACAGTGGGCCGTGCTCACTTAGTCCCAAATCGCAGATAGGACGGCGCGGGGTGAACGTCGGCAGTGAGACGGTTGGACCGGCGCGGCGTAGTAGGAACGTAGGGTTTCTACGCGGGCCTCGTTTAGGAGGAGGTGGCTATTTTATATGGAGTAAAAAGGCTGAGTTTTCTTCCGCTTATGTGATTTTGTTTCAAATTTACTTTGAGGTGCTCTCAACTATCTTAATAAATATGATCTGATTTGAATATATTTTATCTCTGAATAGATTTAATTCAAATTTAAACGATTATTATTATAAAATTAATAATAATTTATTATTAATTCTTATTTAAAATTATTGATAATTTAATGCAATAATAATTTTTATCATTAATCATTATTATTTCAATTATTATTATTATCATTATTAGTTAAATAATTATATTTATTAATATTATCATAATTAATTATTATTGTTACTAATATTTAGTGTTATGATTATTGATGATAATTATCATTATTAATCAAAATATATGATAATAATATTAATTTATTATTAAATATTTTTAATAACTATTATTAATAGTATTAAAATAATAATTTTTTTATAAAAATTATAATGGTAATTATTAATTATTATTACTATAACTTTTTTAATAATTCTATTTATTATTATTATGATCTTTATTTTTAATATTAAGTGTTGTGATTAATGATGATGATTTCCATTACTAATTATATTTTATTATTATTATAATAACAATAATGATAATTATTTTAGTAATTATATTTATTAATATAAATTATTTTTTAATTTTTATTGATAATATTAAAATTCTAATTTTTCTTATTACTAAGTATGTAATTATTAATTATTACTCTGCATTATTTAAATTTTCATATTTCTTATTTTTATAAATATTACTAATTATTATGAATATTAAGTGTATTGATTAATGATGAAAACTATCAATTATTATTATATTAAAAAATAATTATTATTATGAATTCTTATTGTTATTATTATTATTAATTATTTGTTAAAAATAATTATTAACATTAGTATTATTTTGGATTTAATCATTATTATTTTAATTATTATTAATTACTATTAATAAATATTAACATTATTAATTACTATGTTATTCTTTATTTTATAAATAATTTTCTGATCTAAATGGATCTGATCTGATCTGAACAAATTTGAATAAATCTGATTTAATCTGAACTGATATGAATTAATCTAATCTGACTGATCTGAATAAATACGGGAATGGGCAAATAACATTTTTAAAGAACCAAACTCGCAAAAAAGTTGTGGATATTTTTCGAGTTCGAATCTAGACTCGACCCATTGGCACGCCTTAGTACAAGTATGGGGGCGATTCTTCAGACGTTCACCAATGTTATTAAGATGACTTGGGAATTCTATGCTACTTCGTTCGAAAAATTAATAGTTCATTTCCCTTATAATCCTTTTCCATCTTCCTTGCACATCCCCCCATCTTTTCGTCGATTGGCTACAGTGATTCATGTAGCCAATCGGCAAAAAAGGGAATTTAGAAGTAGGAACTATCAATCATTGAATAGAGAACTATAGATGACAATAATGACCAATGTCACATGAACTTGGGTGGTACGAATATAAATTAATTTTTTATTTTTTAAAAAATTATAATATGATGAAGTTTTGAAATCTGAAGAAATAGTATGGCTTTTTAAATCTTAAATAAAGTTATTTAATAAATATAAAATATTGGTTTAATTAGTGATAAATAAGGGTAGTCGATTACCTGGATCGTTTTCAGTGGTGGTAGTCAATGGGGGTTCTTGAGTGCTTAGGAAAATATCAAAATTTATATTGATATCTCCCGTATTTAGGAGATACAAACCCTTCATTGAAAAGATTTGTGATATCTAGATAAATCAATTTTGAATTTTTGTTATGCATCACCAAATAGGCCATGAAGTCAAACAAACTCTAAATTTTAATGATTCTCTCCTTGGCTTGATCTTTAGAAAGCTCACTCTCAAATATTATGAAGAAGTTTAATAAATTAAAAATAACTAATAAGTTGTTTTGATTAACTTTTTGTATCACAACAGAAATTATAAGAAGTAAGGGTTCGTTCCGTAGGACTTATTTTTTCTACTTATTACTTATTCACATTAAAATCAGATCAGATCAGATCAGATCAGACTCAATCAGATCAGATCAGATTCAATCAGATCAGATCAAATTCAATCAGATCAGACCAGTTCCAATCAGATCAGATTAGACCAGATCAAATCCAATAACATCAAATCAAGAAAAAATATAAAAGATAATATTTATATTATTCAAGGATTAAATAATAATTACTATTATTTGATTAAATCACATTACTTTATTTAAAACTACACACACCTAAATCTTAATTAATATTATAATTTTAAATATTATTGTCGTATTATTATTATTATTGTTATTATTATTATTATTATTATTATTATATTTCAACTAGAAATCATTATTTTATATAATTGTTTAGCTTGTAGGATAGAAATCATGCATGGAAGCAATGTTAAAGCTTAAAAAGTTTTATTTTTCATACTTTAAAAAAAATTATTTTAAAATACTTGTTTATAAAATAATTATACAAAACTTAATTTTGAAAACTATAAATATTTTGTATTTAAAAAGACTTACTTTTAAACTTTAAGATGGTATAATATACTCAAGGGTGGTTTATGACAAAATTGATAGAGGTGAAAGAGATATTAGTATTTATAATTTTATATGATATTTAATTTGTAACATGAAATATATTATTATGTAATATATATATAAAATGTGATAATTTTGTAGAATAGCATCAATATTTACAATATTTGTTTATTTTAATACCGATTATTTAGTTTTCACAAAAATTAAAAAAGTTGTGATATTAAAAAGATGTTTAATATTTTTAAAAAAAGTTTAAACATATTAATGATTAGCTAATTTTCTTATTTTACTTTTTTTATGTATATATGAATTGTAATACTTTTAAAGTATTAAATTTTGTAATAATTTTATGTTTAATTTAAATCAAATTTAAATTCATTTACAGCAGATCTAATTAGAGAAAATCAGATCTAATCAGATCAGATATAATCAGATCATATCAGATTTAATCAGATCAGATCAGACCCAATCAGATCAGATCAAACCCAATCAGATCAGAACTTCAAAAATTCAGATCAGATTCAATCAGATCAAGCGTACGGAACAGAGCCTAAATGATTTATTTGGAGATATGCATAAAAGATTAGGGAAGTTTTGTAAAATGGAAAAATGACATCTAAAATAAATAAATAACTTAAAATCAGCTCGAAGGCACACAAAAAAGCTAAAACACCCCAAGTTTAACACCATGATTTTCACACCAAATTTACAGAGACAATCATTGTACTCATACAATAATTGTATTAGTCTTTGACTAACTCATAAACACAGAGAAGCGTCTACTAAATTGTAATAGTAAAATTCATTTTTCTATCAAAATAACTAAAACTTAATTTGGGATGGAAGGATACTACTTTTATTGTTTTTATTTATTCCTGGTTTTCTCACACCCCACACACACACCATGTCTGCACCTCCGTCCCAATTTCTTCTGCACCTTTTTTGGCTCTGTGAAAGAAGAATGAGAATGCATCAAAATGAAAATTCAGTTGAAATATATTGGTTGGGGAATGGTGATACAACATCATAAGAATTATCATCTATATCCGATTAAGTCGCATTAGCCGTAGTTTATATTTCGATTGTGAAGATATCAATCTTCAATTTCAACAATAATTCAAAATGGCATAGTCAATAAAACATCCTTAGCAGAAATACTCAGTAGAATACTTGTATCAGCAAAGACACGTGAAGAAAAAGATGTCACATTACATGCCTGAACCCATTTTTTTTACATTGAACATGTAGACATAGATGGGTAAAATGGCTTCCTTTAAGCTGACCACAAATGGTTTGAATCATACATGTTTGTGTGCTCTCTAACTACCCAAAATCAAGGGGTTCTTATCTGGGTACAAACGATATCTTTTGCATAGTTTCTCCAAGGTTGCTACCGAATGCTGCATCTTGTTCAGTTTTGTGTCCATGAACATTTTCTGTGCAAAATAAATGTCTCGACTAAGAAAAGAGATCATGACATCAAGAATAAGTGACAAAAATTGGCTTTCAAACGAAAACTCAATCATACCTGGTAGTCATCCCCGTATGCATCCACAAGTCTTCGAATACAAACCCGTTGCATAGTCGTTAGTGGTTGTGGAGGTGCACTCTTTCCATCCCTCCGTTTCTTTCCAAGTGCAGACTTAAGGTCTGTATATCAATATAAAAATGGTGTGACATTTAATTATTTAAATCCACATTATTCAAATTAAGAACATTCTATTTAACAATATGACATGCCCTCCAAAGTCTCATTCTCCAAAACACTCCATCTTTACCATTAAGAGTACATCTTGATGAGGGTTCTTAGAGGACATTGGAGGGAAAGACTTTGGATGAGTTAGTCGATACACTAATAAATATTCGAGACTAAAAATTGCAAGAGTTACATACGACACGAAGTTTGGGAGCTGAACATTGGAGAGCTCCCTGTAACATAATATTCTTATTTTCTTTCTACGCGGTTTAGAATGAAATAATCAATATAGACTACACAATTCTTTCTTTACAAAGAAAAAGGGATATCAATTAGCAACGAACAAAACAGGAAGGAGAAGCTAGAGGGAACAGAGGGAGTTATATTTTAATCACCCTTTGTTTTAGAAACATTCTACTTATATACTAGACCTGCCGTCCCATCAAAAACCATCCATTCAAACATACCCTAAGAGATCAACGCATTTAAGTTTAGTTTTGATATTCTAAGTTCACAGTTGTAATGCTCCGTAGCTTTTTTAAATACAGAAATTAAATGGACAGATCAAAATTTGATTTTGATTTTACATGCTAACCATCTGCTTAATATAATCACTGGATCCAATACTGTTTGATACTTAAATTCATTAATGACTCTGAGTCAAACAATGTATTAATATGAACTAGAAAATCAAACATAAAGGAACAGTAAATCTTCATCGCCATGAAACAAATCATCATAATAGATGGCGCAGTAAACAATAAAAATGGTCATATTGCATAAGGGAAGTGGGATCGAGACATGCTACTGACCGTCTTCCTCTAGATCGCTGCCAGAATCAAGAGGCTCAAACTCGGCGTCGGGGCCAGGGGCGGCGGAGGAAACTGGCGGCGGGATCTGAAGAGAGTCGCTTTCGAGGGTGTGGGGGGTGCGAGAGCAGACGCCAAGCAAGTTGGGATTCGAAACGAAGCCCAAGGACTTGTAGTTCTCGATGACGCTGCGCTTTTCGTCCCACTTGGAGTGGGGATCTATGAGAGACCGGAGCTTCGGCGGCAAATTGAACGCCGGCTTGAACACATTTGGGTGCTTCTTCGGCAATCCGATGCGCACCTTAGGCCTTGATCTCTTGTATTTCCTTCTGGACCTCCCCATCTGCTCTCCTCGGTGAAAGGGGAAGCGGGTTTAGGGTTAGGGTTTTGCAGAGAGCAATTGCCTACCAGATTCAAATTTATGCTCCATATACTCCGTATGTATTATAACGGATTTTGACCAAATGGTCCTTAGATTCTTTCATTTGTACAAATCTGGTCAACTTCCTTTTCACTTATTCATAAACCTTATTTTTTTAAAGTATTCCCTCCATTCACATGTTAATGTTCAGTACAATTTTAATAATATATCAAAAATTAAGTAAATATAATAATGAAAATTATAAAAAATATAACATATATTGGACAATATTTGGGAGTCTGTTTTCTAAAAATAAAATTAATCACTATTTTTGTTTAAAAGATAATGTTGTATAGTTAGATGTATTTGCACTTGATCAACATTTTTTGTAGTAGTTTTATTTTAATTTTTCTTAATCTTCAGTCATCATGCATGGTTGAAATCTTGTATCCCTACACAAGCTTTTGCATAATTGTCTCCCTATACATTAACCAGTTGAACTATGTTCATGGATCAATTAATTTAATTTCTAAGATTACACTCTGTATTACTCCCTCCATTCTCAAAAATATTTCCTCTTTCATTTTTTCACTTCCAACAAAATACTTCCATTTTCTATTAAAAAATCATTTTTACCCTTACTTTTTTATACCCTACCTATCACATCATACTTTATCTCTAATAATCTATCCATCTTATCTTACTTTTACCTATCACATCAAGGACAGAATTGGAAGTCAACTGCAATTTAATACTTCCTTATTTTTACACAAAGTCAAAAGAGGGACACTTTTTCCAAACGGAGGGAGTATTTTATATTCCGTACTTTAGAAAGATGAGTGCAAAATATGGTTGAGAGTCTTGAGACAATGAAAGTGAAGATGAATTTCATTAATGATGTGGACAAATGTTGGAATAACATAAAGATACAAAGTATCTTTTACAGTTTACATAAGAGCTCAAGAAGATGAATGAGCATTATATTATTCTAAGGTTACAACAACATTTTCTATCAGCAAAACAAAATAAAATGTGATGCTCCGTACGTCTGCACCGGAGGAAATCTTCTTGAGAGGCAAACAGAGAGACGAATAGGTCTAGAGTTGAGACGACCGGTTCGCGTACTCCTGAACCAGAGCCCCGAAGAGCGAGGGCCTCTCCAACAAGCGCGATGGCCGGTCAAATTCCTTGGCTTTTCCTGTTCAACAAAAATCCAACAAGATGATGATGCTTTTTTAGTGTCAATGATTCACATGAAACATGCATGTTGTTGTGACACTAGGCAAATCCCCTTTATTGGGCCCACAATCGCACTTTGACCTTTTGGTTGACCCGAGAAAATCACGAGTTTGAACCTCAGCGTCAAACAGATATTGAGGTACAAGAAAACACAAAGATAAACTTCTGGTCGAGTTGGTTTCTTAAACTTAGAGAAAGAACTGACCTGCATCAATGACAAGGACTCGGTCGCAGTCCATGACGGTCGGTATCCTATGAGCAATGCTGATTATTGTACATGAAGCAAAGTCTTCCCGGATGATCTTTTGAATCACGCTGTCCGTTTGTGAATCAACGGATGCGGTTGCTTCGTCCATGAACAGAAGCTTGCTTCGTTTTAGCATTACTCTCCCTAAGCAGAGAAGCTGCCTCTGCCCAACGCTCCAATTGTCTCCATTATCCGCAACTGTGTGCAACACAAAAAAAAAAGTGAGGGCCCGTTTGGTGAGTTCTAGAAAGATGAAATGTGATAGAAATGATACCGGTTCTTGAATCTAAAAGAAAAGAGATTCAAAGAAGGGTACCCGGAGCGCCAAGTTTCTCGGGTTTAGAAGCTACAACGTCTTTAAGCTGGCAACGTTCTAGGCTCTGCAATATAAAAAGAATTTATGAATCAAAAGAATCACTAAGCCAAGAATGTGCCAAAGACCTTGTGGCCCTCCGAATTGAGAGGTAGGTCACTGGTTCGAGCCCCAGTGGGAAACATTAATTTTTCGTACTTCAGTAGCTTGAAAAAGTATGTACGAATAGATACTTTATTTTAATAGAGTTAAGGGTACTAAAAACATAAACTATACCAATAATGCCCAAAGATCATGTGACCCTTTGACATTATTACCTTCCATATTTCTTCATCTGAGTACTGTTCAATGGGGTCTATGTTGCTCCTCACGGTTCCTTCAAAGAGAACCGGTTCCTGCGGTATGATTCCGAAGCGGGACCTGAGATCATGGAGTCCGAGGACGGAAATGTCGATGTTGTCGATGACTATTCGTCCCGCTGTGGGCTCCACCAACCTGAAGAACACTTGGATCAGGGTGGATTTCCCCCCGCCCGTCCGACCAACCACCCCAATCTTCTCGCCCCCTTCAATGCTGAGAGTTATGCCTTTAATGACTAAAGGCGTGTTCGGGCGGTACCTGACCTGTTTGTTCATCAAATTAATTCAAATCACATGATCAATATTAATTCTTTGATACCATGTCAAGTTTTATAATGCAACACATTCTCATCTAATTTTGGTTGCAATTGTGGAATTGGGAATAAATGAACAAAACTCACCTGCAGGTCTTGGAGCTCAACATTTCCCTTGTTTGGCCAGTTTGGAGGTGGAAGAAGATCCTTCTTTCTCCATTCTGCTTCTGATGGTATGTTTGTGAACTGTTTAATCCTCTCAACAGATACCATTTTATTTTCCACGAAGCAGCTAATAAATATAGTCCAGAAGAGCGAGGCGTTGAGGGACAATCCATATGACAAAGATAACCCAACATTTTCTGTACAACCCATAAAAGATATGATTTAGCCATTCAGGCAACAACAAGAAATTTAATTGTAAAAAAAGGATATTATACCAGGCTTGATGATGCTGCTAGGCAACACGATCATGAACAATGCCGAGGTACAGAGAATAAAGCTTCCAATGAGTTCTAACCGGCACCCGAGCCATTCGTTGGACCCATTATTGTGGAAATCCATTCGCAAGTTAGCATCGACCCGGTTAACATTTTCGTGGCTGAACCCATCTTGTTTCCTGAAGCAACGTATGGTCATGACACCAGCAATGCTTTCTGAGAAATGATGGATGACTGGTGCCTTTGTGATTGAGTCTAGCCTTGTCAATTCGCGCGAAGTTGCAAGAAAGTATCCCTGAAATAGTAAACGGTCGGGTTCGATCTGTATAATTTGGTTGATTTGGATGGGTACGAAATTTGAATAGCCTACATACCCTGCACCAGAAGTTCAGCCAACCGAGTGGAATCAGAAGTACAACAGTTGGCCAAGTATATTGGCATGTCATGATGATGATCCCAATGAGTGTAATGTAGAATGCAAGTGTGAGGTTCATGAAGAATGGGAGGAAAACATCAATGTTGGTCTGATCATTGGATGCCTGCATCCACATATCAAATAAAAATTCAACTTCAGCTGCCATTCTGCCAAATAAATATATCAAAATTCAATCTTGGCCACCAAATGAAAAATCAAGATTTACATGATTCTTACCCGACTAAGAATTCTTCCGGAAGGCGTTGTGTCAAAAAACGACATGGGAGCATGAAGAATGCTGTGGAGAATTTGACTAAAGAATATTTGAGAAGTCTTTAGGCCCATGATTGTGCAAGAGTACATTCTTAGAACTACCAAAACGGATGCTACAACTGCGATAATACCATAAACCTCAAGAAAAAAAGAGGGGTTGAACGATGCAGATCGCTCTTCGGCAGTTTCATATGCCAACCAGTAATCACTTGCCATTTGAGTCCCTTGCCAAACTAGGGATAGCACCACAACCACAATGACACCCCACCAACCAAACGCTTCTGTGCAATATAGTTTGTAAACATGGAAACCAACCGTGCCGGTTTCTCTTTCCTCTTCTTTTATAAGTTTGGAACTTGCCCCACTAGACTCATCGGGTTGCTGTAGAGTTTCATCTCCACTCTCCCCTGCTCGGTTAAATGACACTTGTCTGGTTTGTTCCCTCTTAGGGTGGGACTCTTTGTTGCTCTCTGAAGTGGTTTCCACATCAACAAGTTCAAGCGAAGACTCGTGAGCATCTACCAGTGCTTTAAAATCTAACCCAGATTTCAGAAGGTCGTCATATCTGCCAGATTGAACAATCATCCCATCTCGCATCACCTGTTTTGTGAAACGAAAGCCAATGTTGAGTCTTAACTAAACAAGCACCAAAGCTTTTTAGTGTTCCTGGGAAAAAGACTTACTAAGATCATGTCAACGTTGTGCAAGAAGTCTATTTGATGGGTAACCAAAATGGTTGTCTTACCCTTGAGAGCCCTTTTCACACATTCCTGCAAAAAAGAAACTTCATCTTAACATAAAAACAATTGATAAAAAAAGAGTCTTGTGGACTCTGGTCAGGCCAAAATTGGTTTTTGGGTTGAAAAATATTTGTCACCTTGAAGATTTCAGAACCGGTGTGGGCATCAACGGCGCTGAAAACATCATCAAGCAGGTAAATGTCAGAGTCCTGATACACAGCTCTTGCAAGCTGAATGCGCTGCTTCTGGCCACCACTGAGGTTAATGCCGCGCTCTCCAATCTCAGTCTGATCCCCGTACTCCATCATTTCCATGTCTTTTTCCAAGCAACAAACTCTCATCGCTTCCTCATACCTCTCCCTGTTCATAGGTGAACCAAACAGGATGTTCTCTTGTATGGTCCCATTCTGAATCCATGATGATTGTGCAACATAGGCGGTTGAACCACAAACTCGCACCTGTAGAAATGGGAGAAAAAAAATAATAGAACATCAAAAATCTTGTGATCAAACTACGGAGTAATAACAAAGACTGTCTTAGCTCAAATAGAACATATATGGTATACCTTGCCTGAGAGTTTGTGCATCTCACCAAGCACAGCTCCCAAAAGAGATGATTTCCCGGACCCAACGGTCCCCACAACAGCTACGAGTTCGCCTTTCTTGATTTCAAAATTTAGATCTTTAAGCACTTGATGCCCCCGTCCGTCGTCCCAACTAAAGGTCGCGCCTTTCACTTCCACTGCAACCCCATCCCCACCACACCCTACCACTCTTTCGACCGAACTCTCGACCAACTCCTTGCTCATCATGTACCTATCCAATCTCTCCAGAGATATCACCGCTTGCGAAAGCGAGATCATGGACTGTGGGAAGGTCCTGATTGGCTCTTGTAGCATCTTGAAGATTGAAGTCGCCGTGAACACTTTCCCGGCATCAAGTGGGACCCCCAACAAGATCGCGCTCCCGAATGTGAGCGTGGCTACAAGCAACGGGGTGCTCCAAAGAACAATCATATTCCCGGCAACCGAATACATGAACTTAGATAGCCACCCGTATTCCACGCCGCGAATAGATTGTATCCTCTGGTTGAAGTGCTCTTCCCAAGCCTGAAACTTGATGACGCGCATATAGTTAAGCATCTCATTTGTCGCCTTCATTCTGGAATCGCGGTTCGTCATTATATTGAACTGGAACCGGTTGTTTTGGCGGGCCCGGTACACAATGAACAGTAAAACTGCTACAAGGCCGACTAGCGTCACAACTACCGAACCTCCTAGGCTGCTATACAGAATGGCTAACGCTATGGAGACTTGTACCGGCATGAGCCATATGGCATGTAGCTGAAGCATCATGTCAGACAACTGCTGAGCATCAACAGCCATGTAATTCACTATCTGCCCAACTCCGTGGTCTTGTCTTGCCGAGCAAGTGAGTCTCAACCCTTTCTTGTATAGAGAGGTGATGAGGGTGGAACGGATGAGCATTCCGAGCTTTTGGGAATTGAAGTTGAAGTGGTGAGAAGTTAAAACCTCAACAAACTTTGCAACCATGAGAGTGCCAACAAGATAGTACCCTTCATAAGGGGATGTCCTTTTCCCGGATGTGTAGTCCACGAACCTCTGGATCAACAAAGGCCCAACATACATCACGCACAGCCTGACAATCGCTATAGCTGCTGTGAACACAACTTGTTTCCAGAAGCAACGGAACAACGTGGTTAGGACAGGATGCTTCGAACTCTCTTCTGGCTTAGGCCACTTCCTCTCGAAAATCTCTGACATTCTTTGGGCTCTATGCTCATGAGAGAGTGTTGGAACATCCTCAAGCTTCAAAGGTGATCTGTAACCTTTTTTCAGCAATGGGTCCATCCAAAACCAGAAAGTTCTTGAGAGAAATGATGCCGACGCATAAGCACTCACGTCTGATTTCCCTGCAAGAGTTTCTGGTTCAGAATCCCTTGGTGCCACTGATATTCCAGTTGACCCTCTCACAGCTACAATCAAAAGGACTATCGAAATCGGGAATGAAATCAATGAACTTAAATCATCTAGCATGAAATTAGGGTCACTTTCTTGACTGGAGACGACACGGATAATCGCTGAACCTAAGAACAATGACATCACAACAAAGTCTGCTATCCAGAATAAACGTAACGACAAGGGATGATTAACAGCTTGGAATTTCTTCTCATGACTGATTAGAACTGTGATGACCAAATGAGTTAATGAATTGAAGAGCCAAAACAGCCCGTCTATGACGCTCCATAGGGACGACCCGCTCGAGCTAAATATGTAAATGCTCAATACTAGAGATGAAATGGCTAATAGAGCAGAGAGAGATAAAGATAACTTGAACCAGAAATCAGTGCGAACAACTTGAGATCTGTGGGGTTGGATGAGGGATTGTTTGTCAACGCCATTAATGGAATCTCTCCTCAACTTGGAACAGAGCTTCCGGAAAGCAAAAGCCAGTAGAACAAGCAAGAAAAGGACATCTATGGCAGATAAAAGAGCCCTTTGAGGACATGGAGAAAGGAAGATGAATCTCAGCCATTTGATTGCAGGCAGAACGGAGTCGTCCTCAACTGGGGCAGCGCAAGAAACCGATGTGATCCAAGAGGGTGACGTGTACATCTTGCTACTCTCCATCTTCATGTCCAACCATTCAAATTTCTCCTTAAGCTTTCTGGGAAAGAAAAAAAACAAAGAGAAGCGATCAAGAAACGCAACCAAATATCTTCTCTTTCTTTAAACAAAACCCAATAACATGCCATACAATCATTTAAAGATGGCAAACGAGGAAAAGGGTCACTAATTTTTGGAGAAAAGATTAATCTTTAGCACAAAAAAAAATATTAAAAGGCAAAAAGAAAAGGAGACTTTGGAGTCATTCCATAAAAAACAACTTTGGAAAAGCAGGACCTGGATTAAAAATAAAGTCTTTCTTTGGTGACAGAAAATCAGTGGTCTGCGGAAACCGAGGAAGAAGAAGAAGAAGAAGAAATAATGGAAAACAAAATCCGGAACATGAAAGGTACGGAACAGAGCAGAAATGAAGGGATCAGAGGAGGAAAGGGTAAGTGCTTCTGTGAAGTTTACATGTGTATCTATGAGAGCCTCCGTGACGGAGAAACTCGCCGGAAGAGCGAGTCGCCGTGGCTGAGTGCGGACAGCAGCAGCAGCACGTTAGATTTATACAATTGCAGGTTACATCTCTTTTTATATTGTTAGTCAAACTTTTACTCCAAAAATGCTCTTTTATATTTGACCTTTTTTGTTAAAGCTTATAAATTTTGATTATGATATATAGAAAAAATACAATGTGTTATGATATAATTTTCATATCATTATATTCCTATTGAAACACATTTTTCTGAAATACTCCGTATCAAACTTTTATAAAATATACTCTATATATGTGTATGAATAAAGATACTAGTGGTCAAAATGTAATTTGAGAGAATGGGTTACAGGTGTTATTGTACATCTAGCATTGCGCTTTATATTTTGTTACTCCATAAAAACAATAGTCATCTTACATCTTATTATTTCATTGAGTTTTTTAAGATAATTTTTAAAAATATAAACTTTATTCTTTTGTTTTGCGGTAATAGTCAATTAAATTTAATTAAAAATAACTTATTCAAACTTCATCAATGGAGAAAGACCAAAGTAGGACTAAAACATTGAATATATACCAAAATAAGACTTACATGTTTTAATTCTCGAAATAGGATTTACATTACCAAACATGGTCAGATACATTACCAAAAAAGTATAGTAATGTGCACATGTACAATGTCACATTACCACAGTGCAAAATTCTATTTCGATGAAAAAACATGAAAGTCCTATTCTAATACTTTTCACTACATTTTAGTCCTATTTAGGGTGATTTCTACTTTATCAAAACACATTTAAAAAGCTTTTTAAGAGGGGGAGGGGTATTTTTGTAATGAAAAAAAAGTCGTCATTTTAATATTAAAGGAGTTGACTTATATTGGTGCAGAGAAAGAAATAGAAGGGACCATTATTGCCTTTTTTACAAAAATGCAATTTTTTTTGAAAGAGATTAAAAACCACCTTAGAGTTCCTACACTCTTTCTTGGTAGAGGCGGTAAAATACAGGATAGTGTAAAAACTTAAAATGGTGTACAAATACGGAGTAGTATTTTTAGATTTTTTGCTCTCCTCATCTAGTAAATAATTTCACACTTTTCTCTCTCATCTCGATAACTTTTGTTTGTTTACGCGATTTCATTAAATATTTGATAAAATAAAATATTCTTGTCAGCTCTTATTTTGTAAAACTTTTGGCGTAGTTTTTTAATATGTAATTTTTATATCTTATTGATATACCAATTTATAAATAAAATAATTTCAAAAAGTAGGAAATTTTACTCTGTAACCCGCAATTTGTAATTAAATTGAGGACGAAGGGAGTATAAACTTTGATTGTGAAAAAAGTGTGTATGAAATAAGGAGTATTTAGTTACTCCCTCCGTCCGGAATTAAAGTTCCCATTCTAAGTTTTTCTTCGTCCGAAAAAGAAGTTCTCATTATATGTTTTCCTACCCAATCTTCCTAAAATACCCCTATCTCCCTTTCCCGTCCTTTCTTGTTTTCCTTTTTCTTTCTCTCGGCAATGTCTTCTCCGCCAGACCAGGTACTCTTTCTATCTCTCTTCCCCTCCCCCTTCGGCCCTTCCTTTTCTTCTCAACGTTAACTTCCTCCCCCTTTTCCTTCATCCTTCTTCTTCTTCTTCTTTTTTCCTTTTCTTTTCTCGGTTAGATTTAGCCTTTATCTCCCCCCTCTCTCTTCCCCCCATCTTTTTCTTTTTTTTTTCCATTTTCTTCTTCTACCAGAGTTTGGATCTCGTTTGTTTTTTTCAGATCTAGAAAATCTGGAGATCCATTTGTGCGGCAAGAGATTCGCCTTGGTTCTGGTTTGCTCAGTAGAGAAAGAGAGAGATCCGTCGATTTGGTGCGGCAAAGAGTTCCGTCGCTTGGGGTTTGTTGGTGCGGCCATCGATCAGTTACTGCGAAGGATTTGGCTTTAGGGGTGTGGCGTAGCTGGTAAATGAAGCCTAGGGGTATTTTGGACAAATTGTAGACAAAGTCAACTTCCTATAAAAATAACCAAAAGTCAAAATGGAAACTTCCGAGGGAGTATTTTTTACAATTTAAATTTAATATTATTGTATTTAATTTGAGACGAATCTCTTATACATAGTATATCAAATTCTTAAAATATAGTTTTAAAATATCAAATTTTTATAATATTTAAATATTTTAAATTATATTTAATTCATAATAAAAAAGTGTCATACTTTGACATAAAAAATCAAATTATATCAATCTTTTAGGAAGGACGGACCAAGTATAATTTAGGCCACCTTGGGCGAAATCTTGGTCACAATATTTGTTAACAGACTTGGACAGAATATGACATCTGTTTTGTTTTTGTTCGACCAAACTTGGTAGTTGGTACAATATAAGGTTTACTCCGTATTAATGTAAGGTTTGGGTCCAACGTGCCCAATCCAGTCCATGCGCAACTCTAGATGCTTTTATAATTCTAAAATCCATATTTAAAATTTAGACCACGTTTGGTACACAGAATTCAAACTATGGAATTATAATTGAGTACTTCAATTCCAATTTTGGTGTTTGGTAGCACAAAAAAATATGTAGATTTGGAATTGATAGTGTAAAAAATGAACTGGAATCGGTAGAATTCAATTTTATGGAATTGAGTCCCATGAAATTTCAATTGCAATTTAATTCCAATTTCATCAATTCCATATACCAAACGGACCCTTAGAGTTTTTTATATTTTTAAGAAATTGTGTGAATTTATTTGTAAAAGATTCATTTCTTTTATGCTACAACTGCACTTGGTATTAAGATTTATAAAATGAGCATAGACTTTAAATTCATGGAAGCAGCGAAAAGACCAATCATATGATATGTCAAAGGTTCAATTGGTGAAAAAATCAGTTTGATGGCTAGTGCATGATTTTTTTCTGTTAAAATATATATCTCAGCTTGGACCATATAGGATCTGTTTGGGAATAACGTTAGAGATTAGCGTTAGCATTTTGGATAACATTTTAACGGTGTATATTACTTTGAAAACGCTAACGCTAAACGCTACCCGTAAATAGCTTTTTCAAAACGCTAACGCTAATCGCTAAAGCTTTTCCCAAACAGACCCATATACCAACTTTGATATCTTATGTTAGACACAAATACACAAATATGGAGTGGACCCTCTATCCAAAATTCGTGTTTCAAATATGATTGGGTTAATTATACTACCTCCGTCTCAGAGTATTTGTCCAATTTCATTTTTACACACCATCCAATACACTCCTTTAATCCATTTTATCTTGTAATTTGTATATTAGAAATTTATAGAAATTATATATTAATAATCTATATGTTAAGACAAATCAAACAAGATCACACATGACTATATTTAGGCTTACACATTGAGAGAATTTGATGAGTCAAAATGCTTAGATGAACAGTTCTAAAAGTCAAAACTAGACGAATACTCCGGGACGGAGGGAGTATGTCACACTTGAATTAATGAGACATAGAATTGAGACATACGAATCTAGGACAGCAAATTTTATTCCCACAAATACGTTAAGCCCCCGTTTGGTACACAGAATTCAAACTATGGAATTGGAATTGAGGATTTCAATTCCAAATCTTGTGTTTGGTAGCACAAAAATTATATGGATTTGGAATTGGTAGTGCAAAAAAATGAATTGGAATTAGTGAATTCAATTCTATGGAATTGAATCCCATGGGATTTTAATTCCAATTCAATTTCAGTTTCATCAATTACATATACCAAACGGACCCTAAGTGGCTTTGGAGGGGTTGATTCATGTGTTTTAGGGCGTGAGAAACACAAATTCCAATTCAACACCTAAAATATGAGATGTTTTTTGTGTTTAATCTTTTATAATCTTTTCTCCGTCTCTTAATAACGATCCATAAATTTTTTTATTAGTCCTAGGCGAGTTTTTGTGGCTTACTATATTTCACTTTCAACATAAATTTTGTGTGTGTCGTTTGTGTTTTGTTTCTCTTTTTTTTCTTGCAGATTGCTTGTGTGTTGTGTGTTTAACTTACAACAAGTTCTTTATCTCGATACTTTTATTGAATCAACATGACTGAGAATTAGAATACCATGTAGTACTCGGGTTTCTATCTCCTTATAAATTGAGATATAACTTCATTTAGAATAATCTATGAATGATATTGTGAAAAACCCTAAACTTCTTTTCTCTTTCTTGTGTAGAGTTCGGGAACACTTAAAATTAAAATACTCGAAGTTCTTCCCAGATGATACAAATATCGCCCTCTTCGAATTTCCATCTCCGTCTAAAATCATAAGCATGTTCTACAAATGCACATTTTAACTTTTTTCATATACTAAAATAATTATTTTGAATATGCGAAGAAGACATTTTTGGGTTGTACATGCCAAATGAAACTCCATTATAAAAGGATGAATCTCATTCCTGAGCTTCACTCAGACCCGAATTTCATTACTCCTTCTGTCAAATAATAATGTTTTCGCTCACTCTTTTGGTGAATTTTCGTGTCCATAAAATATAATAATGTACTTATGACATTCTTTAGTTTTGTAAATCTTTTCATGTGGTTTAAAAATGAAATTTTAATTTTTTATTTTCATATAATTTTTAAAATATAAAATGATTGAAAAATAATTCATTTAAATATCATAACTCGTAGCACATTACGGAAATACTCCCTCCGTCCCAGAGTATTTGTCCACTTTCATTTTTGCACACCATCTAATACACTTCTTTAATCTATTTTATCTTGTAATTTGTATATTAAAAAATTATAGAAGTTATACATTAATAATCTATATGTTAAGAAAAATCAAACAAGATCAGACATGACTATATTTAGGCTTACACATTGAGAGAATTTGATGAGTGAAAGTATTTAGAAGAATAGTTCCAAAAGTCAAAAGTGGACGAATATAGCGGGACGGAGGGAGTATTATTATTGGAGGGAGAGGGAGGGAATATATAATTGAAACTCTATTATGTTGAGACAACAAGTTGGTCACTTGGTCCACATGCAGATGCACTGCGCTCCAGTAAATTCCTAAGAATTGCGCCGACGTCATGCATTACATCACACATTTAACATACACGACAAACCAATTGAATCTTTGTGCTGTTAAAAAAAAAATTGAATCTTTGTGCAAAAAAACTGAATCCATATTATTGCCTAAACTCACTCTCATATTTGTTAAATCTACTCTATTTTTAATAAATTGGTCTTATTTTAAATTCAAGAATACAAAAGATGAAATTTATATGCAAGCTAGAATTTAAGGTTAAAATTGTCCACTTAATATAAAAAGATGGGTTCGGCCAAAAAAATGTATTTAGCAACACTCGATGATAATTAATATAATACTCCTTTCTTGATTTCTTCTCTCTTAAATTAATCGTCTATCTCTTAATTAATTTGTTTTAAACAAAATCATTCAGTATCATACTCCTTTTTTATAAAGTAAAGAATATGTAATCAATTTTTCACTTGTTTAGAAATAAAATTCAACCATTTTTTATTTTTTCACACATTTTTTAAGTTTTGTGAACTCAATTCCACTAATAATTAATTCGTGACACAGGGAGTAAATTAATAATAATAGCAATAATAATAAAAATAATAAATAATAAGATTAATATTTGTTTCAAAAATAATAATGATCTGACTATTTCATTTTATATGATGATCAGTTAAAACGTGTAAGGAAATAAAATATAGAGTCTAAGTTTAAATTACGCACATGATGTAACCAGGCTGAGAAGAAATTTGCCCAAGCTTTAGCTACATTTAGGTCTTGTTTGGGAACAACGTTTTCGATTAACGTTAATGTTTTGGATAAAATCTTAATGGCGTAGCTGTCGGATAGTCTTTTCAAAACGTTAACGCTAATCTCTAACACCGATGCCAAACAGAGCCTTACTCTTTTTATGTTGAACAAGTTTACATGCTTAAAAAATGATTTAAATAAACCATATTTTTTGTCGCATTAATTTTAATTGGAGCTTGTAATAGCTAAAAAAAAATACAAAAAAATACCCCCTCCGTCCCTAAATATTTGCCACATTTGTATCCCCGAGGTAAAATATCAAGTTTTTTCAATTCATTTTATTTACATATTGGTATAAAAATAAAAATAAAAATTACATATCAAAAACTACATGAAAAGTTTTTCGAAACAAGAGGTGTCAAGAATATTTTATTTTATAAAATAACCAATGAAAACGTAGAAATAAACAGAAGTTCCCGCGAGTACTGAAAAAAGTAAATGTCGCAAATAATTTAAAACGGGGATTTCTTTTGCAATTTTAGTGATAAAATATCTACCGAGGGTCCCGGAGTATTAATGATAAATGGATGGATATGAGTGAAATTGGGATGAGGTGCGTGGGATAGAGCCACTTCTTCTCATAATAAATGAACTTAGTATAGTTACTCATCTTGCCACGAACTACATTTAAAAAAAAAATAAAGACCCGTAATCCTTATAAATGCTGCTCCAATACAAAAGAGAAATGCTAGAGTCACAAACACTTTGGTCATAAAATACACAACCTTGTTATTTGTGCACCTCACTAAATTAATAAAATAATGTTGAATAGTTAAAAAGTAAACATTTAAATACACAAATAGTAAGTTTGTGTATTTTGTGACCGAAGTGTTTGTGACTCTAGCATTTTTCAATACGAAAAGAATTATTCGAACCGGACGAGACGTGCATAGCGGAAACGATAGATTACACCTCATATTACTCTCTCCGTCTGAAATTCTTTTTCACATTTGACTTTTTTTTGTTATATTTTGTAAATTTTGACTCTTCATTTCGTGAAAAAAATATATTGTATTATGATATAAATTTGATATTAATATATTTCTAATTAAACGTAGTTTTTAAGTACTCAATATTTTTTAGTACTTCATACAAAATACAAGTGCTCGTATTAATTTAAGTTTTCTTAAAAAAAAGTTTATATAGAGTAATTCAGTAGAACGATCCGAACACAAAAAGAATGAGTTCTGAATATACAATTCTCTATTCAAACACAAAGTAAGAACTTTTTGTACCAATACGGCAATACCCCATGTGGTCTAATAAGTACACATTGTTACTACCATTATTTCAAAACTTATGTCGTTGTCTTCATGATTTTGATATTACTACGCCAATACCCTTCTAGATTAAAGTATTTTTCAAATATATAATGAATAATTCTGTTGTCCCTTATAGTTTTTAAAATATGCATCAAGGCAGTTTATGACACTTCATTGCCTCATATTATTAGATTTTTTTTGCCCGAAAAGGTCTTTATTAGTTCACATCCATGATACAAAAATCAATGAAACACTATCTTTTCACACTAAAACTCATTTCTCAGTTTTGGTTCATTAATTTTATGTCATTTCTTTTATTCTAATCAAAATTAAAATTGAAAAAGAATGAAAAAGAAAATAAAGAAAAAAAGTATATGAAAAATACTTTTATAGATTGGGGAAAATTAACTCATAAAGAAAATCTCTTGCGCACATGTTCAAAAAAAGCTATTAATATTTCTTTTTGTCTCGAGTCCTGACTTTTTCCAAAAATAAAAACTTTTTTGGACAAAAATAAAAATATTTAATTTGATAAATGAAGTATATGTTAATTTTTCTATTTCAAACATAGACATTTATTATTTTCAAAACTTTGTAAAAATATATGTTTGAAAAACAACTTTTTATTATTTTAAACACAAATATTTTTTTCTCTGTATGAAAAAAAGAAAAAAGAAAAACAATAAAGAAAAGGGAGACAAGGTGTTGGTACTCATTTTCAAAATCATATGGGGCATGAAGTTATTCACCTATTAATTGATAGATATTTTTATTCAGAAATACATTCGTGTAGCAATATCAAAACTATAAGAGACAATGATAAAAATTTTGAAATTATGAAGAGCAACGATACACCATTTCCCAAAGTAAAGGAGGTATTGCTCTATTAGTACAATAAACTTACTTAAAGTAAATATAGACAACTATGCTACAATTACACCAAAAAGTGTACTTCAAAATTACATCAAAGAAATACATTACTATTTTTATGGTTGATATTGACACAATGCTAGTGCGATAAATAAATTTGTACTTATATTTTTTGCATATGTAAACTATGACTCTAAGATCACACTTTTTTTTATAACCTCTAAGATCAAACTTGACACAAAATAAAAGTGCATACTTGTAATGTACTCTTTCTGTCCACCTAAGATCTTTGCATTGCGCGTTACGAGGTTTGACCGACTTTATTTTCAATTCAATTTATTTGAATATAGGTTTAAAGTTTTAATATAAAATCTATGTAGTAATAAACTACATGAAATGTTCTACAAAACTAGATGTGACAACATTATATTATTTTGTGAAATGAGTAGTAAAAATAAACAACTAAAGTGAATTAAGTTTGACCCTGTGAATAGTATCTGGAAAGATTTATGGTGGATAGAGGGAGTATCATTTAGGATATACTCCTTCCGTCCTTAAATAAACTTTCCCTTTCGTTTTTCCTTTGTCCCCAAATAAACTTCTTTTTTCCCTTAAAAAACCCCTTTTACCCCATACTTTTTCATACCTTACCTATCAGATCATATATTTTTACTAATAATCTACATATCACATCTTACTTTTACACATCACATCAAAAGAATTTTTAGAAAGTCAACTCAAGAATATCCATTCCTTAAATTATCAAAAAATCAAAAAAAGAAATGTATTTAGGGACGGAGGAATAATTTTTAGAATAGAAATAGATTAATTCAAATATGAACCAAAAATAGGCTAACCGAATCTGATTTGATTCGCCAGGTCTAAATTCGAGTCATTGAACACGTGACGTGCAAAATGGAAGAGGTGGGCTCCACCGAACTCCAACAATCAATCGCACGGAGAAAAACATGTCTGTTCGTTCGTTCAAACTGAAGTTGTTAGGAGTACTGTTCCAACAACCCCTACACTAATCATCATCTTTTATTCTTCTTCATTCACGGATTGGAAAGCGATTGACAATTTTTTTTTTTTTTTTTGAAAACACTCGGGCCTGGCCTGGTCCAGCTCAAAACCTGATCCAGCTCACATTTTGATCAGGTCCATATGATAGTAATGGACAATGAAAATAGAGTGAAGATTGGGCTGCGACTGGCCCAAACTTCACGACTGAAAAAGCCCAAATCCAAAAAAAACCCTCCCGCGGCTGTTTTTGCTTTGATCTTCGACATTGACGGGGAAAGATTAGCAGAGAGACTGAGAGAGAGAGAGATGGAGGTTGAAGAAGAAGAAGAAGTATCCGCAGCTACTGAATCGAGCTCCTTCAATCGCGTCGGACTCAAAAACTACGTCCAAACCAATTTCGGAGATGATTACGTTTTCGAAATCGCGCCCAAGTAAGTCCTTTCTCGTTTTCTCCATCGCTAATTCATGCGGAGTTTATGAAATTGCCATATTTCATCTTCACTGTTTGATTGTGTCGCTTAAATATGTGCCAATTCAATGAGAATACAGGGAAGATTGGACGTCAATGGCGGTTTCGCTGTCGACAAATGCGGTGAAATTTTACTCCCAGGCGAGCGGACAGTTTCTGGGGGAGTGCCGAGGCCATTCCTCTACGATTAATCACATCTCCTTTGGGGCAAGTGGTCCAATGGAGCATATTCTGCATTCATGTTCTTCAGATGGCACTTTCAGAGCATGGGACACCAGAACATTCCAACAGGTTTGCCATCCCCTCTCTCGTTACATATCTCATTGTTTAAAGATTCTTTCTTTGATCAAGTAAATTCTTTAATGTATGTAGGTATCTTGCATGAATGCAGGGCCTTCCCAGGAGATCTTCAGCTTCTCATTTGGTGGCGCTGCAGATAATCTTTTTGCAGCGGGGTGTAAATCTCAGGTGCACTTTCTCATAGATGGATAGCTTGTTAATTTAAATCCATGTATTGTGGATTTGTTGCCTTTTAATATAGCTTCCTGCATATAGTATTCCTCTTTTTCTGCAAATGGGTCTCTAGTTTCCCATATACAACAACAAAAATAACAACAACCTAGTGTAATTGCAACCCCGTTTGGGTTTAGGGGCCAGGATGTACATAAACATGTTATTTATCTGAATATTATTGTGCAGATAATCATCTGGGACTGGAGAACCCAAAAGATGGTTGCATGCTTGGATGAATCTCACATGGAGGATGTGACTCAAGTATGTTTTTTCCCATCGTGCAGTCTATTCTACATTGGCACATCACTATTTTTTTGTGTTTAACTATCCCATGTGGTTCTCAGTGTCTTTTTGTTTGCTATAGCTGTTTCTAATGGAGTGGTTATAAAAATAGGTTAGATTTATTCCAGGCCACCAAAATAAGCTTCTTTCTGCTTCTGTTGATGGATTGATGTGTTTATTTGATACTAGTGGGGATATCAATGAGGATGATCATTTGGCATCAGTAAGTGATTATGCTTATTCCATTCTGTTATATTTTCCAATTTTCTATAGAATGGCTAGTGGCACTTATCATAATCAGATGTAGTATCGATAGCCAGAATCATATAAAATCTTAAGTCACATATCTGAAATTATTGAAAATAATACGGAGTATATAACTGATTTACAAATGCTGTAGCGGTGTTTTGCAAATGCAGGTTTTTAATGTCGGGACATCAATTGGAAAAGTGGGATTTTTTGGACAGAGAAATGAGAAACTATGGTGCTTAACTCACATTGAAACTTTAAGGTACAGTATGCACATCTGCAATGGCGAATTATGGTGTTTCAGTGAGAGTTAAATTAAAATAATCTGATACATTTCGTTGATGTACAAAAGCATCATTGTCCTCACACTCACAAATCATGGATGTATTTTTCTCTTTAAATTTTTTGGTAGTGTTTGGGACTGGAAAGATGAAAGGGTTGAAGCAACATTTGAGGATGCCCGGTCATTGGCTTCCAAAAACTGGAACCTAGATGAGGTATGGCAACAATTTGTAAGCTTGTCCCTACTGTTTTCGAAGGAAAATCTTTCTGTCCATATAAAGGGACAACAACAACCCAATTGAATCCCACATGAGTAGGGTCTGAGGAGGGTGTGTGTACGCAAACCCTACCCCTACTCAAAACTATTGCTTTGATTGCAATTTCTTTGAAAGATTGGATGAATAATTGTGTTAGTCTGGGTAAATTTGATGATTTCACCTCAAGTTAGCTTTGATACATAACTTTTCCATCTTGCTTACTCTTTGCTCTTACATTGAAGGTGTCAATTTCTTATAGTAAGGGTAAATTAATAATTTCACCTCAAAAAATCATCCAAGTGGTGAACCACAATGTGGCAATTTAGCTTTACTCATTCATACAACAACAAACAAACCCAGTAGAGTCGCAGAAAAGCAAGTTGAGTCTAGAGAGGGTTTGTGCAACCTTACCCATGCTTGGAAGTAAAGAAATATTCATTCATATTATGATATATTGATACATACCTCACTCGCCCAACTTGTGGATTGTAGGTGGATTATTTTGTAGACTGCCACTACTCAGTCGAGGGAGACCGACTGTGGGCGGTGGGAGGGACAAATGCTGGCACCTTAGGGTACTTTCCTATTGATTATAACAAAAATAAAGGCACATACACAATGGAGGCCCCAGAAGTGGTCTTACAAGGTGGGCATGAAGACGTTGTAAGGAGTGTGGTCCCAATGTCATCAAGATTGTCGCCCGGCGGCGGCGGGATCTCTCAAAACGAAGGGATCTTTGGATGGAGCGGGGGTGAAGACGGCCGCCTCTGTTGTTGGCTGTCCGACAAGTCAGATAGTTGGAAAACATCATGGATCACAAGCACTCTTGTCCTGAAATCCCCAAAACCACACTTGAAAAAGAGGCATTCTCCTTATTAGGAAGGTATGGAGGGACATCTACTTTTGTTATGTTGTAAAGTAATGACTAATGAGTAATATTCTTGTGATGTTCCCCACCCCATAAGGCCACAACCCCCAAAGTAGTATGCACTACTACTATTCGAAGTATGATTTGTTTTTATGTGTTTTTTTGTGTTAGTAAGGAGTATTATGATTGTTGTGAAGTTATATATTCCTCTATTCTTTACAAACATTACTTCTTTCATTTTTGGCATTCCTACTTCAATGGGCTAAATAAAAAATAAACATTGAACTTCATGTTCCTTTTTTTCAATGAAGTTTTGGGTAGTAAATGGTGTGATGCATCAAGGGCCTATTGAAAATAAATTTCACTCTATTTTTTATGGAGTATTTTATAGGAATTGAGAGCACTTACAATGGGGGGAATCTATTCTTGCGGCTCCGCTAGGAGGGACGGGGCGTGTGGCGGGAACCATTGCAGGACTTGGGGCTGCGGCTTCCGTGGGGCGCGGGCCACGGCTGCCATTGCTGCGCCGGTGGGTTTCTTTTTTGCTGGTTTTTTTTATTTTATTTTCCAAGCAACCTGTATTTTTTTCATATTTATAGTTATAGGTTAAATTTAAAGTAAATTTTCCCATTTTATTAATGTACCGTACTATAGAGTATTGTTAAGCACTTAATATTACACTGCTTATTTTTTATATTGTTATAATTTTTTATTTTTTATATCTAATTTTATTAATAGACAGTTATTTTTATTTAGTTTATATAACTTATTACGTAATAAAATGATGAATATTTTTTAAAAAAAATGAAAATGCAAGACGAGAGAGCAATAGCACTGTAGATATTTTGACCTTGTGCAAAAAAAGAAAACAATGACATGACAATATAGAGGAGCGGAGCGAGAGTCCTTCCATTGCACATGGCCTATACATTTTGACCTTTGGACTTGTGTGAGCTTTGTATGAAGTGAAGCAGTTAATGTATATAAAAAGTTGAAGAGCAAAATTATGAACATACTTCGCCTCCCTCCCATAAAAAGATTCCACAAACTATCAAACACTATCTCTTCGAAAACGAACTCCACCCATGGATTTAATTCAAGGAATGAGGGACTAGCACAAAAAACAACATAGCCAACACTAGAAGAAGAAAATATTCCTTCATTGATAGTCTAATGTACAAAATTTCACTAATAAGTTACATGACAAAAATACCCTTCTTCGCTTTTTCCTCCAATCGAGAAAACACACAATGGTTGGGGTAAGTTCAGAGGGTTGCGTCAGGGTCTTCTACTGTTTTACGTACGGTGTTCAAGTCGATCAAGTGACGCATGGTCGGTCTCCCATGCGGGCAGTTCCAAGGCGATTTCAAGCGTGCCAAATGCTCAAGTATCTGAAATTTGCCCATCAAGCTAATTAGGGGAGCTGATGGCTTTTTGGTCCCCTTTCAAAAATAATCTCTCTTACATTTTCAAGAAAGAATTGTGCTATTAGTATTGTCACTTCCCTTTATAAACAAATCTCAATCACGCATTTTCATTCTCTTGATACGCGTGACAAGTCAAACCAAAAACATTAATGTGTGGAGAGGGAGTATTTGAGACTTCAAAGCAAAGCAAGTTTATGAGTTAATCCCCTTTGCCAAAACAGAGTTTAATTTATCTATAAGCTAAAGAAGGAAGAATATACATGTAAAAAAAGAGAAGAAAGGTATGCAAATACTTACCTTATGCATCTCATTTCTGTCTAGTGGATCTCCAACCATAACGGATGTTCTGCAAGCGCGGGAAGCCAACATTGCACGCACTCTAGGTGGGCACACCGAATCACATGCATCGGTCCTATAACTACGTTGAGCATTACTACCATCATCTGCAAGGATAGAAATCAGCTCCTTTGCATCTGCATTTGTAAACAGGGGAACATGAATCTTGAAAACATTCCAAATCAAGGCTAATAAAAACTCCATAAATGGAGATTGAATGGGGGAAGACACACACACACACACACACACAGAGAGAGAGAGAGAGAGAGCAAACATTATTCATTTCAGGTTCAAAAGAATTTAATCTGTAACTAACCCTGTACAGCATAGGATGAATACCTGCTACTCCGAAAGTTATGTTTTGACTGAAAGGAACTGCCTTTAGATAGAATCGAAGTCCAGGAGGAGCGTATAGATCTTCTTCCAATGTAAAACCATTTCTCCTGAAGTACAGACGGGCACAATTATGTTGGTTTAGAAACAAGTACAAATTACAACCAAATCTGAATAAAGTTCTTATGAAATATGCCAAATTAAATTTAGCACCAGAAACCTGAAAAATTTAATATTGGACAAAATGCATTTTTTCTAGGCACTCACCTTATGGTGTCCATGTTCATGGAAACAATTATTTCCTCTTCAGGAGATAAATCCATCTTCAATGGCCTACAGCATTCAAATGGTAAATAGAGGACAATTTAGTCATAGCTGCAAAGAAACAGCATTGGATCAACACATACGCAAATGTAAGTTATGTAACCATTTGGATTTGTTCTTTTGATCTACCAAGATTTACCCGAAGTATAACAATATTTGAATGGACATATTGACAAGTGATAGAAGAGAATGTCTAAACCTTACACACAATCATGTCCCTCTAAAAATATGAAGTAATTGAAATACTAAAACCCACAAATTTATATCCCTCACCGGAGCAAAGGTTGCTGATTTAAAACTGTTGACTCCGACAAGCGTTCATAGTTATACTTTTCATCTGCAGCATGCTGGTGACAAGGAGTGGCATATAAATAATTTCCAATAAAGAATGAATAGCTACCACCACAAAAAAACATCAAAGTTTAATAAAATTTTAAACCTAAAAATGAGCTACTTATTCTGTATTTTATAGTGTTTCAAGCAGGGACGTTACCTGATCCACAATAAAAAGGTCTTGATCTAGCTTGCCAATAATAAACCCAAGATTGAATTGTCCAATGACCTGTTCAGTATAACCTGGTGAGAATAGTGCTGAATCCTCTACCATCGACATGAAAAAAATATACTCCGGGTAAAAGAAATACAATAACAGCTAAAGAAGCAACAACATTCACAAGAGTACCACAGAAGGAAAAGAGCTTGGTTCAAGTACTTGCATGATTAACAAGTATAGTAGGGCAAACATTTTATTTCCATAACAGGTTATTTATATACCGGAGTATATAAAAACTGCTTCCCAAAATAAACCTCTTTCCCAAAGAGGACACATAAAAGCCAAGCTTCAAGTTAATCAATTATGAATAGGAGTTAGGTATAGCAAAATTTTTAAATGAAAGGTTTTAAGGCTAATTTGAAATATAATTGAAAGGCTAAACTGAAAAGTAATCTGAATGGAAAGAAAAATTATTTTCCCTGATTTCCCTCCATTCCTTTTTAATGGACCATCATGGCTTTCTTGATACATTGAAAAACGAAAGAATGTTGACATACTTTATATCATGCATTCATTTTTCAATGTATCATGAAAGTCATAATGGTCAATTAAATAGGAATGGAGGGAGTATCAAATAAGTATACCAAAAACCCAACCATAAAAAACTTTGACCCCTTCACTGTATGAATAAAAACTGGAAAGTATGACCAGGATGAACGATATATAGATGTGATAATGTAAAAAAGATGTTTTAAAATTATAGTTGACAGAATCTGCAAAAATATGTTTCAAGTTATATATGAAGAGAAGATAAGCCAACCTTCATTTGAGCAAAGTTTTCTTTCCTGAACATCCTTTCCAACTCAGTAGCCGCAGCAGCCAAGGCTTTTGTTTTTCCCTCTTCATTAAGTGGTTGAGAGAGGTCCAATGATGCTGCAGCGTATCCCCTGCAAGTAGCACATCAAACAAATCATCTCATAAAAATAGCATATTCCATTTGCAGTTTGAGGAGAAGATCAACAGGTGGATACCTTTTCGGTTCAATGCTCCTAGAGGAAAGGGTGCTGGTTCGTAATCTTGCAAGCCTCCATTTCCTTCTTTCCATCAAGTCTTTAAGACTAAATTGCATGGTAGGACCAATCTTTGAGTCAAGGGGAACCTTTTGAGAATATGATGAAAATGTATGAAGTGAGGATAAGACATTCATGCCCTATGGGCTATGGGAGATAATGTAAAATTCTTTTAGTGTTAAATGTGAAATTTCTTTCAAGAAAATGATGATGCCAGAAACATATAAAGAGGGGGTCAGATATTCTTTTACCTTTATGATCTCTCCTTGGTGAATCTTGTCTGTGCTGGGTATCCCATTCGTCATATGATTAACAATTTTACCCAATTTAGATAAGGTTAAAGATCCAGACTTATTTTGGTTATCTTCACCGCGAACATCAACCATATTATATTTTTCGGCAGGAGTTGAGAATGAGCTACGTTTTGTGTCAGTTGATTGGCAACATATAGATCCATTTCTCAGCACAGGAACTTCAGTCAGAGGTGAACTAATACTCTCATGCTTTCTCTTATTCAACGTAACATATTTGGTAAGCGATGATTGGACAATCTTCGAGTCCCTGGTGAAATTTCCATCTTTTACACTTTCTTTTTTTACAGGTGACGAACATAGCAAAGGCTGAATATCTGTCACGTTACTTTCCAGACAAATATCTTGCTTCTCAGAACTCTCATAGTGTTGGCGGTTCTTCTCTTTACAATGAAATCTTAGACTAAAGTCCCTTTTTGTTGAACTGATCTCCTTACTTTGCATCATAACTGCATCAGGAGAACCACTGGTGTCGTCTTCTAAAGTCCTCTGAATATCACCATCTGCAGGTTTTCCCTCGCTGTGTGCTTGCTTGTCAGGAAATGTTTCAGAAGATGTTTGCTCCGATCTTAAATCTGGCATTGTTTGCCGCACACAAAACATGGAACTATGTTTTCCTTGTGCAACATCTTCTAATGAATTTACAGAATAACTAGCAAGTTCGGGTGAGTATATCTTTTCTAAAGCTTCTCTCAAGGATCTCAAAATGGAGCATTCGTCGGAGAAAAAGATTTTTCTTTTATCAGGAGAGACATTCACATCGTAGGCTTGAGGTGAAATGGTGAAGTTCATGATTGCAATGGGAAATTGCTTGCTGTTAGCAGCTCTATAGAGTTCATTCACAAGCTTGCAGAGTTTGGGCATATCAACTGGTCGACCATTAACAAAGAAGAATTGGCGATCCCCTGAATTCCGCCCACTTCCATTCCCACCCTTGGAAATGAACCCATCAATTTCACAGCCATCTGTTACACATACATTAACAGGCTCTAAAGAGGTAAATGTATTCATACCAAAGACTGCAATGATGTTATCTTTCAGGGATCCACTTCCTTGAGTTTTCAGCACTACCGATTTTGCATTCTTTCCTGTTGTGTTCGTGCAAAGCAATCTAACTCCCATAGCAACCAAAGCATAAGCCTGAATCCCAAAAAAGAAAAGGTAAGTGTTTGGCATAAAACTCTAGGCAGAATATTCCCAGAACAAGAGGGCTTACATTCAACAAAGTGATGAGCTTCCCATATTCCTTGCGGGTGTTTCTATGAAACTCCTTACTTCGAACAGGTAAACTGGAGAATAACTTCTTAACAGTGACAGTGGTACCAACTTGGCGTGCCGTCTTTGACTCTTCCATTAGAAGCCCAGAGCGATTGAAAGTTAAGTGTGTTGCTACGGGTTCGTTCCTTGTTCTAGTCTCTACTGTCAAATCTCCTAAAGCACAAAGGGAACTCAAAGCTTCCCCTCTAAACCCAAAAGTCGCTAAAGACTGAAGATCAAGAAAATCTGATAGCTTTGATGTGTGATGCTTCAATGCCAAAACCTTCAACCGAGCAAAAAACAAACACCACCCACAAACCGGGTTAGTTGAACAGCAACAATCAATGAGCACAACGAGTCGCAAGCCATACTGATATATATCTAAGTGCGAAGAACAAGCGAAAAGACAATTTCAAATACATTTATCTATCAGACCTTGAAATTGTGAGGAGAAATGCCACAACCATTGTCTATGACCTGGAAGGATTCAGCCCCGTAATCTCTGAGGGAAACCTCAATGCTGGTAGCGCCGGCGTCTAGGCTGTTCTCCACCAGCTCCTTGACGGCTGAGGAGAGGTCGAGGATGACCTGACCGGCGCAGATTCGGTGGACGACGCCCTTGTTGATGGGTTTGATGGTCGGGGAATCCCGTGATAAAGCGGTTGCTCCTTCCATTCGCGGCTGAGCCTCGCCGTAGGGCAGCGAGCGGAGTACCGACCGCAAAACCTTCCGTCGTGAGCTCGATGTGTCCTATTCAAATAGCAGCTTGTAATGGAAGCCCAGAATTTCAGTTCAGTACATTTCGCGGAAGCGAAGCGCTGGCGCATATAACCCTAGGCGGCAATGTTCTCAACCGCCCCTCTTTTTTGCCGCCAAAATCAAGCCCCCCCTCTTGTGGTTCTGACGTTTTGTTATTCACCCGCCACTCCGCCAGCAATTTAAGTGTGAAAATGATATTTGTATTCCAAAAGTTATATTCCATTTTATACCTCCAAGATATGCACAATATTTTGTGACAGTGTGACGTAGTGTAATACTTTATAATGAGATAATATGTTAGATTGTCAGTATAAATTTTTTTAATCAAACTAACATTTTATACAGTGTGAATTGTTAAACTATTGGTGCATCCTTTTGGATTCATTTTTTGATGTACCTCTAGCATGATTGTTTTTAGTGCATCTCAAATACTCATTATCTCTTTTATAGAAAGAAAATAAGTGATAAAATTTATTTTTAATCAAATGAAAAAAAGTAAATTTTATTAGGTGAAAAAATATATAGTGAATTTACTCACATCTTATTAAATACTCCCTCCGTCCTATATTGATCTTCCCACTTCCCTTTTTTTCCCGTCCTAAAATCATCTTCCCACTTCTTAAAAAAGTATGTAAATAGACTATATTACCCCTTAACACCTCTCAATCATTGCCCTGTCCTCCGTCTCTGCCTTCCACCTCTTTTCCCCTTCCTCCGATTTCCATCTCCTCTTTCTCCATCTCACCTCCCTCTCCCTCCATCTCTCCTTCATATCACTTTCTCCGTCTCTCTTCCCTCTTCTTCTTTCTTCACCTCCTCAAAATCACAGATCTAAGATCTACGGGTTTTCAAGTTTGGTTCCCCTTTCGATCAACAATTTACCAAGTCTATCTCCCCTTTTCGATCTGCGATTTCTCATCATCGTCGATATCAAAGGGCCGGCGATTATTCACGATATCGCCGAGATATGTGGTTTGTGCACCAAGATCTGTCAGCGAGTCATCACAAGACCAGGCGCTTGGAAGTATGTGGTTTGTGCACCGATACTAAGGGGGTGATGACCTTTGCCGGCAACTAGGTGCTTAAGAAGTACTCTAACGATGAAGGAGGGGTATTTTCTTCGTCTCTGTGCTGCATTCCCTCTTCTCAATCACTGCCTTGGGAAGGGGGGTATTTTTGGAAGTCAAAACAATATTTACTCATCCCTTAAAAATGACTTTTAGTCAAACTGGGAAGCTCAATATAGGACGGGGGGAGTATATTTTCATTCTTAAAATATTCGTCTAATTTAATTTTGTTTTTTACCAAATTAGATAAACATTAATATCAACTAAATAAAACTTGCATTGAAAAAGTTATACATTTTTTCGACCAAACTAGATCAATATTATTGTTCAAAAGTCGAAACAAGTATTATTAATTGTGAGGAGTTAAAAACATTAAAAATTTATGTAACATTAAGCTCCAATGTCATTCTATGGTTCAGATTCTAATTAGGAGCACTTAAAGTGCTCCATTTGAAACAATTATGATTCCTAACTCTTATAATCCCTTCAAATCTCTACCTCGGTCCGACTCAAATCCACCACCCACTCTTTTTAAATACGCCTCACGAAATTTAATTGATTTTAAAGTCAAATATTGACATGAAAATGATGTTTACCGGGGTGGTGGTGAATTTGGGTGGGACAGAGTTGTGATGTTTTCCTGTAAGGTTATGAGGGTTAAGGTGGGGAGGCAAATGGTGGACTAGGGTGGAGATATGCGGAGTGGATATTATGAAAGATAGAAATTATTATTTTACTAATGGAGCATTGTAGATCTCCCAAACAATTTGATGTAAACAAATGATACTAATAGTACCGTCGGTGTCATTTTAAATTTATTCATAATTAAAAATGAATAATTGTATTATTTATTAAAGTTAATTGTTCCCCATATGCCAAACAATTCTTAATAAAAATTGATTTTTAAAATTTAAGATTTAATCTATATGTTATTTGTAAGAGTTGATTATTCAAAAATTAAATTATATTATTGGTTGACTAATTATTAAAATGACGAATTGACATGTAATATATTTGTAATATGGAAAACATGAAATTAGTGAAATCTAGGTAGCGCTAATGAAGGAAAGAAATGGGCGTAATAAGATGAAGGAGACATATGTATCCCACCATGCGGCTGAACACAACATCAATTCTAAATCGATACAAGAACATAACGAAATCTAGAATCAAAATAAGAAATCAAAATAAGAATTGGTGGCTAAAATTTCATACTTTTATTTCTAGATTGGCCTAATCGAAACCGGCTTATTTTATCATTATTATTATTACTTTTGTTTTGATGATTCTTTTCAAATTGTTTGAGGTTATTCGTAATATTTGCCACACAAAAAAAGTATGGTTATACTTTTTAGAATTAAATGTGTATTATTTTTTAATATATTTTACAACAATATACAAAAAAAAACTAAAAACATGATAGTGTGGAACCTCCTACGAAAGGTTTCCCTAAAAACACCATCTCAGATTACTAATTTTTTTTTAATGCGAGTGAGATGCGGCATAAGTTCATGATACGACGTCGTCCTGATCAACGGGATGAAATGAGCTTAAGGTTGGTGACGGAGACAAGAAGAGCCCATCCGAGACAAGGTTTGACCAGGTCGCCGGCGATCGGATTCACGTTTTTGAACGTCCGGGCGCACCCGACCAACGCCCCGACGAGTCCGAGGCAGAGCACGAGCCCGGCGCGCGTGGCCCCGGCCTTGAACACGACAGGGTCCCACGCGAGGCCGAGCGCGAGCTGGCTGAGGTACAGGGCCATGGCGGCGGGGCAGCGGTGGAAGCCGCCGTCGACCCAGACGAGCCAGGCGGAGAGGCCCATCAGGAAGGCGGAGCCCAAGCACGCGAGGTGCAGGGCCCAGAGGCGCGGGAGCCAGAACGGCTTCTCCATGGCCCGGTACTGCTGGCTCGCCCCGAACAGGGAGATGTCCAGAAGCGTCAGGGAGAGCGGGAAGACGACGGCGATTCCCAGAGATCTAAGGCCGCGTTTGGCTTTCTGTCTCCTCGCTCTCGCGGCGGCGGCGGCGGCGGTTCCATTGTTCATGATCTGATCATGTGCTTCTTCTTCTTCTTCTTTCTTTCTGTGTTTGAGATGTGAATTTGAATGAGTCGCCATTAATGGAATTGTTTAATAATGGGAGATGGGGAGAGGGAAACGGTTTGGGGATTATTTTTTCCAGAGGAGATTGTGAGATAAAGCTGTTTATAAGGACGGGATGAGATCGATCGATTCAAGCCATTCTTTAATTAATTTTGCTGTTCTTTCGTTCTCATGAGGACAGGGAAGACACGTGTCGGAATATGGTGAGGGTGACTCCTCTGGTGCAAGTGCACACGTGGACCTTAATCACTGCCACCGCGGCTTTCGAGCATTTGTGTAGAGAATGTCTTGCCCAAAAAAGGTCGAGTCCCAACTAGGGGAGAGCATCGGGTTGGTTTGGTTGAAACCCGAACTAATTGAATTTTTTTGCAAAAAAAAAAAAAAACTGACCGAAAACCGACCGAGTCGGGATGAAACCGAAGCAACCGAAAACCGATGTAACCGATCTGTTACGGTCGGTTTCCCAAAACCGACATTTACCAAAAAAACAAATTCTCAGAAACTCACTATTAATTTCAAAATTTAACATAAATGACTATAATTTCAAGCTACTGAAAGAATGGATGATGAAGAAATTGAAGGATACATGGAAGAATGGAAGATGATCATGGAAGAAGCGGTGTGCGAATCTTTACGACGAATTGGTGATGGCGGAGTAATAGGGTTATTCTTTATGTTGAATGGCGATCGATGACAGACCATAGACGAATTTAAGATTTGGCCGACTTTGGGAGACGGATAAAACCGGGGCGGCAACCATTAGCATTGGCGGCTCTCCTGTGAACACTCGAACAAATAAAAAAAAATACTCCGTAGATGCTAATTAACAAATATTGTTGACCATAATGTCTGAACACAAGGTCTTTAGGTAATATCCTCCTGTTGACCATAATGTCTTTGAGGATAATGCTTTGATTCATTCAAGAAGCACACCAAATGTAGTCTATATGATACAAGTGCATAGAGATGTTATTGACATTTATCACATGTGTGTCAACCGTACGAAGTGATACACTAACATTTACTAAAGCATATTGAGACGAAAGGGAAACGAAAAGAAAAAAAAGAAAAGAAAGTGGAAAACAATTTTCTTGTTTAGTTAGAGATAAAAAGAAAAGAAAATGAGAAAGTAAAGAAATTTAGGAGACAAGTACTCTCTCCGTCCCAAAAGATCGTTACGTTTCATTTCTTTGCGCATCACAAAAAGTAATGCTACTCACATCTAAAATTTCTAAAATTTACCATATTTACTCTTTATTATAAGATGAAATTGTTTTAAAAGTTTTTTTGGCATTTGAGACGATATAAAAATATTTTAAGGGATGCGCAAAGAAATGAAACGTAACAATCTTTTTGGGACGGAGGGAGTATTACTAAGTGAAAGGAATACTATATTATTCCTATTTTGGTTAGAGAAATGAGAAAAAACCTATCTTTTTTCTTTTCTTTCTAAATTCCTTAAACCAAACATAATAGAAATGAAATGAAGATTCAATTCAAAATATAATCACTACATTATATCAATAGAAGTGTGTTCATAATCATGCAATTATTTTCATGTTTTACTTTTTTATTTTTAATAATACACCTAATTTTGTCATGATCTAATAGTTTACTAATCATAACAACATGTTTTTTGCTTATAAATGTGAACCATCACATTTATACATTGTGTAAACAAAAATGCTATGTGGAGTACCCCATCACGAATCAAAAAAATTATGATTAAATTTTCAAAATAGTACTCAATAATAATGTGTTTTTCAAATTAGTTCAAAAAATAAATTAATTACTGAGATATATTCGCTAATTAAAAATAATATCCAGTTTAGTCCTAAACTAATAATCGTCAAAACAGCTTAACAAGACATTAAAATTTATACTCCGTATTAATTTTCCAAATTAATCAGTTGCTCCATAATTTTTTAGAGGCAAATCTGTATCTTTCAGACTTTCAGTCTTTGAGAGTGCTTTCCTCTCCAATATCATCGACACCCCCACGGCAAGAACCATGCCGGCCGGATCTGCCGCCAAGCACAACGCCGGGCGGAGATCGGATCCCAGAACTCAAAAGCTTCTTAGAAATCCCAAACTACTATCCGCAGTTGCGTTAGTTTTAGCAGAATCCATCATTGTTGCGCTGATCATCGCCTACGTTCCATGTAAAATCAACTCTCCATTGTTCCCCCAATGTTCATGTCTTCTCCTTCTCTTCAAATTTCCCTCAGTAATCGTGCGATCTGTTTGTTTCAGATACAAAGATAGATTGGGATGCTTATATGTCTCAGGTTGGGAGTCAAATTCCGTCTTTGATTTTCGATTTTAGTATTGTTTTGCTTAGGTAGTAATTGATGAGCAGGTAAGCGGGTTTCTTGGAGGAGAGAGGGATTACGAGAACTTGAGAGGTGACACTGGTCCTCTGGTATACCCAGCTGGCTTTCTCTACCTCTACTCTGCCATACAATATGTCACAGGAGGTCAGGTCTTTCCTGCGCAGGTATGTCATTTCTTTCCCAGTTTCTCTTGCATTCAGTTTCTTTGTAAGGTAGGAGTAGTTCTCCCTGCGAAACATCAATGGCCCTCTGATTTGACATTTATGGCACGAAATTGCAGATTTTGTTTGGGTTTCTCTATATTATAAACCTTGGAATTACTCTCTCCATCTCTCTGAAGACTGATGTGGTATGGATGTCCAATTTTGATTTTATTACTGCAAAGTGCTTGTCGAATTACATACTTATGCTTTTTTTTTTGTGAGCATTATAGTTTCATATGTATTGTAAAATCAGTTAATGCGTGCAGGTTCCCTGGTGGGCTTTACTATTGCTTTCTCTGTCCAAAAGGGTTCACTCCATCTTTGTGCTTCGCTTGTTCAATGATTGTTTGGCCACAACTATACTCCATGGCGCGCTGCTCTCACTTCTCTATCAAAAGTGGCATTTGGGTCTAGTAATCTTCAGGTAATTGTATTGTATTTTATGATTTTACGGCCCGTTTTGCAAATCCTATTTGGCTGAAATGGCTTAGTAATGAGCATTAGTCCCTGGGAAGACCACACCCCAAAAGCTAGCTATTAGGGTGTGATGGCTTTCTGATGTGGGACTCATTACAAGCTCAGTTGGCCGAATTTTCTCAAAGGAAGAGTGTTTGGTAAAAGTTATTGAGCATTTCAAATGCTACTTATTATAATTATTCCACTCAGCCTTTTCTTGGCAAGCCGAGCTGATAAGCCAGCGGATAGCTGAATATTAGCTGGCAAGCAGACTTTGACATAAAAAATGGCATAGAGTGATATATTTGCAATGAATCTAAAAGAAAAAAAGAGGTTACAATTGGAAAAGTTCATGTAACTTATTTGCAATGGTATTCAAAGCAGTTTATTAAATAAGTTCAGACTTATCTAGTAAGCTTGCCGACCAAACACAGCCTATTTAAAAATTCATTTTTTTCATTCTAGAACAGCTAATAACTAACATATAAGGTAAACTTATGGCGTGCCAAACATAGCCTTATTATGTTTATCAATGGAAATGGAACTACGATCTCTTGAGAACTTTTGGGTTGGTAAAGATTGAGTAACAGTTTTCATATTGGTACAGTGCAGCTGTTTCGGTGAAAATGAATGTGCTTCTTTATGCTCCACCTCTGCTCCTCCTCATGATGAAGGTGCACAATGTTATTTAGGTTACACAGGGGTTTGGAAATAAATATTGGATGTATTCCTACATGAGCTTTCTGCTGTATTTTAAATATACAGGCAATGAGTATTGATGGAGTGATATCGGCTCTAGCTGGGGCAGCATTAGTGCAGGTGCTTATTTATATGAATTTGAGTGGTCAAAGATGGATTGCATTTTATTGAGCTCTTCTTTAATAGTGTATGCTTAACAAGATTATCTGTTATGATTAGGTGAGTAAGATTTTGCACACAATTATAGACTGAAAGAAGCCATTTGGTGATTGACCTCTCATCATCTTGCAATGCAACTGTGACTGGTGCAGATTCTCTTAGGGTTGCCTTTTATCTTACCACATCCAGTTCCATATTTATCAAGAGCTTTCAATCTCGGCCGTGTATTTATCCACTTTTGGTACTTACTTAAACACAAAGCAAATGGAGATATGTTGCATTGATTGGTATTTTTTGATCGTGCTGTATTATGAAAAACATGAGGGTTTAGTGTTGTGTTAAGTTAGCTTTACCAAATCTCTTGCAGATCATAACTCTTCATTGGATCTTAATAGCATCTTTAAACCCATGAATTGATTTAGGATCCTTTAGTCATTCTGAAAACAAGGAATAAATAAATCTGTAGCTTTTCCTAACATGCATTTATGCAACTATTACATTATAAATTTGTTATTAGCCGAGATATTCTTACACATTAATATGTATATTTGATTCTTCCTAATTTATTTCAGGAGTACGTAAAAATGTATATAAAATTGCACATAACACACAAAATGGATAAGATTTTTTTCATTTTATTAATTTTTTAAACTCTCATCATAGTAGCCTATTACGTTATGTACTTAAAATCTTAAATATGTACAAAGTACTTGTTCATGTTAGAATGCCTTCTCTTTTTTTTTTTTTAAATTTCAGGTCTGTTAACTTCAAATTTGTACCTGAGGATATATTTGTATCTAAAACATTTGCTATCTCTTTGTTGGGAGCCCATCTCACTCTGCTTATGCTTTTTGCTCACTATAGATGGTGCAGGTCAGCATTAATATTTTTATATATTCTTGAAAAATGAGCACTTTTGAAGGGGATTTGCTTAGTCTATTTTTGTCGTGCTTTTTGTCATTTTGTGTGAGATAGCTCAAAACGGGACCTCTTATTTTGCTGCAATTACGGATTAAAACCGAAGAGATATCAGTTCACCATTAATTCTCATGACATACTATCAACACGACAATGAGATTGACTTGAAATTGACTCAACAATATTCTTTTTTCTACAGAAATGAAGGAGGTCTTTTTGCATTCTTACAGTCTCAGCTTGGACAAATGAAACACAGAATCATTACTTTATTCTCCTTATCTTGCAAAACACTTCCCGGTCAAAGTTTAGGCCAAAAATGTCTTCTACCAGACCGTAAGTTTGTGGGCACAATCTTCTCTTGGTTGTGAAATCTGATATGGCCTTCTTTTTTGTTTTATTTAGTTTCATGGTTTCCAAGTTCGCATCTCTTGATATATTTGTTTTCACCCTACCACTACCACCACAAACTAATGGGATGCTATTGATTTTTCTTTGTGTGCATTCAGATATTGTGACTACAATGTTTGTCGGGAACTTTATTGGCATAATATGTGCTCGATCACTTCATTATCAGTTCTACTCTTGGTAAGTGCTGCTGCGCATTGTTGGCTACACTTGGATTTTTTTGTCTGGCGTGATAATCCAACTAATTGCACTTTAATGCTAAAGTAATTTGTTTTTAATCATATGCCTAACTTCTATGTTTGCACCAAGAGGTGAAATCACTACTGTCAGCCTCTCGCATCTTTGCCCCAGAGTCTCAATGGTACGCTGATTCACGTGTCCAAACCACCTCAACCTAGCTTCCTGCAGTTTAGCCTCCACATATGCCACTCCCGCCCGTTCCCAGATAACCACATTCTGAATCGCATCCAACCTCCTCTACCCACCTGTCCCCAGAAAACCTCATTTTAAAATAAATTGATGTGAATATGAATTATATGGTAAAGTGATTTAAATTTTGGGATGGATGGAATATTTCACTTTGCATTTTCCTGAGATAAACTGATCATAAGCAAATAGTGTTTCTTAGCATTTTTGCCTTTTCTAGCATTTTCTGGGATCTAAACATACATGCCCTTAGTCTTCGAATGAAATAGAACTTCCATTTGAATCTGCTCTTCGTTTTCCTGCTGTTATCCCAGGTATTTCTATAGCATACCATATTTACTGTGGAAAACACCGTTCCCGACCTTTGTCCGGTAATTCTACGCAATCATATCGCTTGCTACTCATCTTTATTTACTGCATGCATTCGATCATTATTGCTAGTTTTTAACTGCCCACATTTTCTCCCCCAGTTTACTGTTGTTCTCAATAGTGGAGCTGTGCTGGAATGTTTACCCCTCCAATGTTTACTCGTCTGCCCTGCTTCTCTCGGCTCATTTAGTCATTTTGGGAGGTTTATGGGCAGCCTCGCCCGAATATCCGTACGCCCATCGGACGAATGATAATAAATCATCAACAGCAAAGGACAGATGATGATCTTTTTGTGCTGAGATTTTCGCCGCAGAGGTTTAATTTGGTAAATACTCCGTATCACTTTTCTTGGTTAGCTTTTCACAGCCAACTTTATTAACCTCTCTTTCCCCGTTTTCTTCTCCCGTGTAACTTAGATCCATATGTGGCATTAAAGCCAAACGACACATTTTTTTCCCACATAAAACTCAAACCACACAATACATCTAATGCAATGGTTTCCTCAGTGTATAGAAATTGTGATCTCCATATACTCATTCCTATGGTTCATGGGTTGTGGGACCCCATCAGGATGAAATTGCTGTCATCCCAATAATATGGTTGGGAAGAAATATCTAACTAAGACTAAAAATAGAACTTATAATGTCAATTTATAATCACAAAAAAATTATGCAATAGCAGTACACAATCATGCCAAATTCTGGAGTGTATAGTGGTAACACTGCTATTTAGGGGATTACAAACATAAAACGTCTAATTTTGATATAAGTATCATGTTTTAGTCTCATTTTAAGTAGATTTAATTTTTTTTAATGCCAAAATGCAGAACACAACGTTCCAATATATAACAAGAAAATGCTTGGAAAATTTATTTTTTATAAAAAAATCTCAAGTAGGAGCTGAGCAATTACACGTGATAATGTTACTATATATATATATATATATATATATATATATATATATATATATATATATATATATATATATATATATATAGACCTTTCGCAATATTTTTTTAGTATTATATATTGGCATTATCGAAAACATACGTCAAATTTTAGGATAACAACATAAATATAATACGGAGTATCTTATTTTGTTCTCTTTGCTACGATCTAGAGTTTTAGTCATATTTCGACTATTTCCCATTTTTATATACTCTGTACATATTAAAATAAAATTAAATTGTGCGTTCTGAAACTTGTTAAAATTAATTTTTAGAACAAAATCAAAGCAACTATCTAAATATACAATTCATTCGTTAAAAAAAATAAAAATAAACATAAAAAAGAGAAAGACTTGGTCAAATTTTAAAACTCTTTGAAAATATGCCATTTAGTCAGCAATTAATGTCAATGTCTTCTAGATTGGGTGATCTTTTGAAGGGGTTTTTAGGGTTCTTCTAGATCAATATATATTGATAAAGTCTTCGGCTTTCTCTAGATGGCTAGACCCAGGGGTAAAAACGTGCATACCAACATCGTAGAAAGAAAAAAAAACATGAACCGTTATATTTGTACACCACTTGGTTTTTGATTCACACTGTCACTTAGAATAAAATTGTAAAACCGTACTAGCATTTTGTGTTAATTTGACTCATTATTGTGTCGGTGTAAACTTATGGTCTAGTAGATTTTTTGAAAACAAAAAACATTCATACTAAACAAATCCTTTATCCCAGCCATTCTGTCCATCTCGCATAGTCACCTCTCCATTCTTGGAAAACTGCCACGTAGCAATAGTGTGGTTTCACCTCTTCAATCTCCATTTCCATTCTTGAAGGTTGATGAGCAATGACATGACAAGAATGAAATGTCACATGGTGACATGAAATATTTCAATTAATAAAAAATAATTCATTCAACGTGTGGCAAGTGAGTGGAGTGACATAACATAAAATGACAAATCATTGTTTTAATAACTTTTTTGACGACTTTTAATTATAAAAAAATATTTTACACATCTATTTTATTATAAAAATGTGCCTAGTTCTTTAAAAAATGTTTCTTTTTAAAAATTAAAAAAAAGTAAAAAAAATCAAAATAGGAAAGTCATGCCTTGCACATGAAATGAAAAAGTGGAGTGGAATAACTCCGGAATGCCAAGGTTTGGATGACATTTGCTCACATGGCTTTAAGAGGCAAGTATTGTCTCGCCGTTATGAATGCTTTTATAAATTGATGGCAAAAAGAAAAGTCAGCATCTGATGCTTGCAAATATCATATGCTTAGAATTTTTGCATCGCAGCATAATTGTCAGAAATCAAACGTTTATTACCTTACCAACTACACAATGCCCAACGACACTCGCAATCGTATGCATCACTATAGTGTGGTACTCGTATTGACACAAAACTATATATTTAAAAACTTTTACTTTAATTTTAGAATATTTGTTTAGTTTTGTTTTTTCGCCAATAGTAATCAACCTTTGACATATAAAATTATATTTTTGGTGTTGACTTTTTAAAAATATCTTTGAAAATATGGGTAAAACTTTGAAGAAAAGTCAACTTTATTTCTATAATTTCTATTTTAAATTGAAAAAAAAGTCAAGTTTATTTCGGAGACAGAGTTCATACTTCAATTCATAATAATAATAATAATAATAATAATAATGTCAAAATGCAATAGGAAACACACAACATTCAAAAACATGACAAGAAAATATTTGGAACAATTTCCATTGATTATTATTGCATACAGCGAAGTGCTGTCTCAGAAGAACAGAGTAATTCAAAGACCGGAGCGAGCAAATTTAAAGAACACAAACAAACGACGCAGTCTTAAAGCAAGACGACCAAGAAGCTAAGCTGCACCAAATTAAACATAATCCGTCATATTTAAAACAACAAAATGTCCGGCGGCCGCCGCCGCCGGCACGATCTCCGGCCACCAAATCAAGAACCCGGGGAGGATCAGGTCGCCTTGGGGAAGTTCTGCTGCAGGAACTGGTTGATCAGCTCCTGAACCTTGGCCCAAGCAGGCCTGGCCAAGATGTCAGCAGCCCACGCGCGGACATGGGCGCGTGACTCAAAGAGATCCTTGGACCTGGTACCCATGAGGGAATTCACGAGCGGCGCGTGGTGGAGGTCCGCCAGGGTGAAGCTGTCTCCGGCCAAGTATTTGCTCGCCGCCAGACGTCCCTCGTACACGTCGAGAACCTTCCCCAGCGCTGCCTCGTGCTCCGCCACCGCCGCCTCGTCGGTCACCTTGCCGAGAATCAGTTTTATGACGAGCTCGTAGTTCAGCTTAAATGCCGCCGGGTCGAAGTGGTGGGCCTCCACCTCGACCCACACCGACATGATCGCCACTTCCTTGGGGTTTGTGGGGACCAAACGGGTCCCGCTGTCGGCGTATGTTTGCGCCACGTATTGAGTGATCGCTCTCGACTCTGCATGCACATGTAGAATAGTATATAGTCACGTCACGAATGACATCAAAGTTAACAGAACAATGCTTGTAATAACCAGAAGTAAGTTTACCAAAGAGTTTCAGGTCTTTGTCCTCGAAGGCCGGCACTTTACCAAAGGGCTGTGAGAGACAATAAAATAATTGATCAAAAATAAGAAATAAGTACTCTCTCAGTCTCAAATTTATTTATAAATTAGATTTTACGAAGTAAAACCGACCCTGTATCTTTTGTTTTTGCATATTTTATATCTTTACTCATTCCATAATATACAAAATATAGAAGTGACCTTGTTACTATATATAGTATGGGAGTATATGTACATTTTAGTACTAATTAGTGTAAATATTTCTATATATATTAGGGGACTCACGTTGAGAGAAATGAAGGGTTGTTGTTTGTGTTCTCCGGTTTGAAGGTTAATCTGGTTAAACTCGTAATCGAGCTCTTTCTCTTTGAGGCAGGCGATGACTCTCTGCACCGGCGGTGAGAGAATGATGCCGTGGACCTTGAGCGCCGCTGCCTCTGCCGCCATCTTTTCCGGTGAGATATGTGTGTATGTATGGAACTTAATTGTTAGAAAACAAAGTTGGGAATTCTATAATTTGAAATGGGAGTGAGATTGATTGTGCTTCATTGTGACGCTATTTATACACTTTTGGGAGAATCTCTTTTATTCTTTTTCCCCTTTCCTATAATCTTCCCTTTGGTTTTTCTCTTTTGTCAATTGAACCATTCTCTTTCTTTATTTGTCAATTGAACCATATATTCTTTGCTCCAAGAAAGATTTTACTCCCTCGTATTTCATGGTATTCGTTTGGTTTAATTTTTTGATTCAAATTGGATAATTTTTAATCATTAATTATTTTAATTTGTACTATATATTAATTCAATGAAGTAAAATTTTAAAAGTTTTAAAAAAATTTATTTTAATAAAACAATTTTGTATTAATATATATATTTTATGATTTTACTTAATTGAGGCTAAAAATTCGTCCAGTTTGACTCGAACTGATAGTATAGTCAGGGACCGAGACAGTATATTCCACCATTTATCTTTTGTGAATTTTATTTTATATAAGGTGTTGATGACATTCAAATTTGTGACATCTACGTTTGCAAAATTCTAATGTCATGTCAATGGATCACAGCCTTTTGATAATATTATTTTCAATTAAGCTTTAGCATTTTTTATACTCCGTAATATTTTAATAGTGCAAGTTAACTATGAAAAAATATTATGGTTAAATGTTTTGATCATTAGATATTCTTTTCAAAATGTTAAAACTAAACATTGAATCATTGTCAGTAAAAATATTTCATGTAATGACTTGCTGAATTTGTAGATGTTTGATCAAACGGTAAATGACGACAATTGATATGAGTATGAATTGAGAAATGGGGAGTATTAGAATATGTACGACGTATAAGGGAATTGAGATATGTTAGGTTAGATTTAATACTCTCTCTGTTCAAAAAAGATTATCACAAGTTTAATCTTTTGGCCAAATTGTGACAACTTTTGACTACAAATTAAATATAGTTTTAAATAATTAAATAGTATAAAAATTTAATGTAGCAAATAATCAAAAGTGCGAAGTATATTTTAAAATGAAGCCAATTTTACTAAATTTACATTCTACTTCCTCCGTTCTAAAATTATTTTCTCAGTTCAATTTACGAAGTTTGATTGAAATTATTTTTATTTCAATTTATTTGATTCTAGATGTAAAATTAAAAAATAAAATTTTATATTTTAAAACTACATCAAAAGTTCTACAAAACAAGAAGTCGCATGACTATATTATTTTATCAAATAACTAACAAAAATTGATTAAAAAAGTAATTAATGTTTGATCATGTTAATAATGACTGGGAAGATTATTTTATGACGGATGAAGTAATTAAATACATTTTTTACACATTTTGTGATTAAAGTATCACACAATTTGATTAAGAAATCACACAAATTCTTTGAGGGAGAGTAAAAACCAATGACAGCTATATCTCTTTGCCTTACCTAAAGGAATATTTTTTGGAACCAGTAAAATTCTTTGACCCCCCCACCCCCGCCCCCGCCCCCACCC